CGTCCAAGCCCTGAGCAGCTGCAGGCTGGCACCATTCTGAGAGGCAAGCCCCCGAAGGACAGTGTCCTGCCCTGGGGACGACCCTGCTGCTGCTTCCTGAAGAAGGAAAGGTGAGCCGAGCTCTCCCGTGCACCCTGAGGACAAACCCCAGCACCACTGCTGTGGGTTACCAAGAGAGTACGCTGTCCAGGGGCCTGGAAAATCAAGTAACCCAGTCCACTACTCTTGCCACTTGAACACTCTTACTGTGGTTTCATACTAACACACCTGGGACCCATCTGCACATGCTAATAGTGGGCCAGGTGACTGGGCTCCCAACCCATTTCATTCACAACCAACACCAGGACTGACCACTTGGGTTCTAGTGGGTTGCTCCCCCAGTGCTACTGCCATCACCCACATCACCCCAGCTGCTCAGGGGCACAAGGGCCCACCTGCATGCCTGGCCTACTGCTGCTACTCCCAGCATCTGAGCAAGCCACCTGGAAGCCCAAGAATGGACCTGCCTAGACTGGCCACTCCAGTGCCAGCGTAAGCCACCTGGGAGCCCAGGGACAGGCATGCTTAACCCACCACCGCCACCACTGGGACCCAAGGACGGGCCCATCTGGCAACCTAGTTCCCAAAAAAACTTTACCACAGTCTACACTAATAATCACACCATAAGTCACTGAGAAAATCACAGATACCACTGATACTGTTTATAGCCGAACCAACCATACAGAGATCACACTACTTCTTGCACCCAAAATCAAAGCACCCTACCCACCAATAATATATATGTCTTCAGGAAAAAGTCCTCCCCTAGGAAAGCAATTTCAAATAATTGGAAGAAGCTACTGTTACACTAGATGTGCAGATATCAATGTAAGGACACAGGAAACATGAAAAAGCAAGGAAATATGACGCCACCAAAGAAACACAATAATTCTCAGCAACAGATTCCAATCAAAATGAAATTTACAAACTCTGGACTTAAGAAAATTCAAAATACTTATTTTAAAGAAGCTCAGTAAGACACAAGAGAATTCTGAAAAACAATACAGAGGTATTGGAAAAACAAGTCAGGATATGAATGAGAAATTTACCAAAGAGATAGATATTATAAAAGAGAACCAAAGAGAAATTTTGGAACTGAAGAATTTATTGAGTGAAATACGAAAACATTATAAAGCTTCAACTATAGACTAGATCAAACAGGAAAAAGAATCTCAGAACATGAAGACAAGTCTTTTGAAATAATCTAATTGGATAAAAACAAAGAAAAAATATAAAAAAGAATGAGCAAAGCCTTCTTGACATTTGGGACGACATAAAGCGACTGATATTTGGATTATTGGTGTTTCCAAGGGCGAAGAGAGAATGAAAGGGTTAGAAAACCTTTTTATTATAACAAAGTGCTAGATGAAAATTTCCCAAGTCTAACAAGAGATCTAGACATCCAGGTACAGGAGGCCCAAAGATCCCCAAAGAGATATAATGCAAAAAGGTCTTCTCCACAGCACGTTATAATCAAACTGCCTAACATCAAAGACATTCTGTAGGTCGTCTCTTCACTCTGTTGATTGTTTCCTTTGCTTTGCAGAAGCTTTATAGTGTGGTGTAATCCCATTTGTCTATTTTTGTTTTTGTTGCCTGCGTTTTTGAGGTTTAACAACAAAAAAATCCTTGCCCAGACCAATGTCATGAAGCATTTTTCCTATGTTTCTTCTAGTCATTTTATCAGTCGGGCCTTATATTTAAGCCTTTAATCCATTTGGAGTTGATTTTTGCATGTGATGATAGACCAGGGTCTAACTTCATCCTTCTGCATGTGGTATCTAGTTTTCCTAGGGCCATTTATTAAAGACACTGTCCTTTCCCACATGTGCATTCCTGGCACCTGTGTTGAAAATCAGTTGGCTGTGAGTGCATGAATTTATTTCTGTGTTCTCTATTCTGTTTCATTGGTCTGCACGTATCTATTTTTATGTCAGTGCCATGTGGGGAAATGTTGAAAGCTTTTCATCTAAGACCAGGAACAAGACAAGGATGCTCACTCTCACTAATTTTATTTAACATAGTACTAAAAGTTCTAGCCAGAGCAATTAGGCAAGAGAAAGAAATAAAAGCCATCCAAATTGGAAAGAATGAAGCCAAACTATCCCGGTTTGCAGATGACATGATCTTATACATAGAAAACTCTAAAGACCCTACCAAAAACCTGTTGGAACAAATAAGTTAAATCAGTAAAAGCACAGCATACAAAATCAGCATACAAAGTCAGTAGCATTTCTATGCACCAGTAGCAAACTATTTGAAAAAGATATCAGGAAAGCAATCCCATTCACGAGAGCTACAACAAACATAAGATATCTAATTGTCTTAGTCCAGCTTTTGTTGCTATAAAAGGAATACCTGAAGCTGGATATTTTATTTTAAAAAAGGTTAATCTAGCATGCGGTTCTGCTGGCTGGAATGTTCTAGATTGCATATCTGGTGAGAGCCTCAGGCTGCTTTCACTCATGGTGGAAGGTGCAGGGGGGCTGGTGTGTGCAGAGATCCCATGGCAGGAAAAGAAGCAGGCGGTGCTGGGCTCTTTTTAACAACCATTTCTTGCAGGAACTAGTAGAGTGAGAATTCACTCACCCCTTGGGAAGGGCATTAATCTCTTCGTGAGGGATCCACCCCCATGACCCAGACACCTCCCATTAGGCCCCACCTGCAACGTTGGGGATCAAGTTTCAACATGAGATTTAGATGGGACAAACATCTACACTATAGTTCTATAAATAAATTTAACTAAGGAGATAAAAAAAACTGTACACTGAAAACTATAAAACATTAATGAAAGAAAGTGAAAAGGACACAAATCAATGGTAAGAAATCTTGTGTTTATAGATTGGAAGAATTAGCATTGTCAAAATGTCCAAACTACCCAAAGCAATTTACAGATTCAATGCATTTCCTAGTAGAATATCAAGACATTTTCACAGAAGTAGAAAAAAAAAATCCTAAAATGCATATGGAACCACTAAAGACCTCAAAAAGCCAAAGAAATTTTGAGCAAAAAGAATAAAGTTGATTGCATCCCACTATCTGAGTTCAGAATATACTACAAAGCTACAATAACTAAATATATGCATTTTTGTCAATTAAAAAGTAAAAATGAATTTTTTTCTGTTAAAAATCCATTTAAAATAAAAAATTAAATAGTAAAAAAATTAATTTAAAAAATCCTGTGTGTGTACACTAACAATCACTCATACACATATATAAACACACAATCACAAATATATATAAAAGTTGACTTAGCCTGCTAGCATACAAGATTATTCTCAGAATTAAATAAAACTGTAATACATGTTAAAAGCTTAGGAAAACAATCTGGTACTTAAACAAAATTCACACATCATTAACAAAAGGTTGCAAGCACACACACCTGAGTTTCAATTTCGGTTATCCCGAGTAATGGGAGATGATCATGCTTCTGTTTGCATCTCTGCATTTTGTAATTATTCTGAAATTAGCCTCCATTGAGAAGCTGAGTAATGTAACATGATTAAAAAAATAAACTTTGAGTTGATCAGCTTGGACTTGAATCCCAGTTGCTCCCCTGACTGAGGTAGGTGACAACGGAGAAATTCCTTTCTCTGCCTCAGTTTCCCCAAATGTAAATGAAGAAGAATAGCTGTGGCTGGCACACAGGGATGTTGTGAGGATTAGACGAATTAATATGCACAAAGTGCTAAGAACTTCGCCTGCCTTGTCACAAGAGCTGAATTGCTGAACTATTCCTGCTGTCATTTGGATACAGTATATGCATAAGAGGAATAATTTAAAAAGTGAGACCTGCTCTGCCCTCTAGGACCTAGGAGGTGGCGTCACAGCAGGACCAAGTGGGGAGCCCGAGGGCTGCTGTGCCCAGCCTGGTAACGTGGGGTCAGGTGCGTGGCCAGAGAAGGGGTTGAGGACAGGCCTCTCTAGGAGCTGTGAGCAGAGGCTGTCCTAGGACAAACCAGGAAAGGCCCTCTCATCCTGCCTGTTCTGGGAAAGAGGAAGCATAAAATTCACACGGAAAAGCAGGAGGTTGTGGGGACCTGTTATGGGCTGAATTGTGCCCCCTGCTGCCAATGCATATGTTGAAGCCCTAACCCTTGGTGACTGTATTGGAAGGCAGGGTCTTTAAAGAGGTAATTAAATTAAATGAGCTCATTGGAGCGGGCCTTAATCCAACACGACTGGTGTCCTTACAAGAAGAGGAGATTAGGACACAGAGACACGCAGACGGAAGACCGTGTGTTAAGACGCAAGGAGAAGACGGCCGTCAGCAAGCCAAGGAGCGAGACCTCAGTAGAAACTAACCCTGCCGACACCTTCATCTTGGACTTCCAGCCTCCACAACTGGGAGGAAATAAACGTCTGTTGTTCCAGCCGCGCAGACTGTGGTGCTATATTACGGCAGCCCCAGCAAACGAACAAAGTGCAGAGCTTCTCAAAAAGGAAGAGCCGTGGAGGGATGCAATAACTATGCAGGGGGAGGCGGGGGAAGCAGAGGGCACTGTGAGGAGCTGCCCTGCGGGAGGAAGGTGCTGGAACATCCCCAGGGAAACATGCGCCCTGCCCACCTCAAGCGGGCACCATTTCAGACTTCGCCTCCTCAGGGGAACAGAGCGCTGGGCTTGGAGGCAACCCCACGGGGCTGTCTCTCAGCTCGCTCTGTGGCCTTGGGTATACTGCCTGGACTCTGGGGCCTCAAGGGGTGCTGGATTTCAATAGCAGTTCTTCTGTGAGTGTTTTGTCAATTGAAATATTATAAAGAGGTAAATACTGGGGAGGGGTGGTCTGAAGCATCGATGCCTCTGGTGACCAACTTTTATCTCTCAGATGACACTCCGCCCTTGGCTTTCTTTGGCAGACCTGGTGGTACTCCTATGCTTACCTAGGGCTTCTGGAAGTCTCCAGGTTGGGAGATGCCAGAGGCGGGGAGAGTGGGGATTCTAGCCCAAGGCAGCACTCACCTGGGAGTCCCAGCAGCAGCAGTAGCAGCAGCAGGAAAGGGTGAGGAGGGTGGGGCCTGGAGGCAGGGGGCAGCATCCCGGAGGCCTAGGGAACCGGCTGTCGGAAGGTCTGTGCTGGGAGCTCTCACTCTCCCCTGTGTGCAGCAGAGACGCCCTGCCTGCCTTTACACAAGAGGAAGTGGCCGTGTTGGCGAGTGACGGTAACTGGCTTCTAGATTGTGAAATAGAATCAGGCACAGCGGGCAGCTACAAGGACAGGAGTTACTCATGTTACATTTTCAGAGAGACTCAGATAGGAGGCTTAGCAGAAATAATGTTTCTTCCCCGCTGGGGGTCTGTGCTGTCTCCATGTGGCCCCTCACTCCATCTTCAAGTCTACTTGGTGATTTTCCATATGGGAGTCTTAGGCCAAGAAGGATCTGCGATTGTGAGCTGTGTCCTCAATTCCTGATCTCAAAACCCTGGGATGTCAGGCTTGTGGCCTCGTTTCACACCAGCCTCAACCAAGAGCTACTCAGCTGGAGGTGGGAGAGTTCACAGGACCTTCTAAACATTGGAGGAGAAGCAGGTCTGCTCTTTAAATGATTCCTTATTCCAACCTCCTATTGATATAACTGGCAAAACTTAGCCCAAATTCAGTCGAATGTGGACCTTACCACTTTTATGTGCCTGCACCCAGCAAAGGGAATCATTTCCTGGCTTCCTCCAAGAGGTTTAGGTTAATAAGGATCTGCTTTGTGGGTGAGGTGAGAATTATGGGTTCTGGAAGGGAACAGGAGGTCACATCCATTTTAATACTGTCTGTTGTGCATGCAGAGTACCTAGTCCCCTCACCACTGGGTGCAGATGGGAACCGGGGCAGAGGAAAAATAGATGCCCCAACCAAAAGGGCATGCTAAGGACCTGGACAAGGCACTGGACACTCCTAGCTCAGTTTTTTTCTCCAAACTGTCTGAATAACAAGTCCTTCTCTGCAGTGGTTTAGTGGAGATTAAAGGAGAAAATGTAACGTGCCTGAAACCCAGTAGGATTATTAATCTTCCTGGTGAAAGGTGAAGAGATGGAATTCAAATATTGTTTTTGAATGGATGCATGGTGCCAGTTGCTCACCAGTGGCTTTGTCCCAGCTCCCTGGACCTCCTGAGATGCAGCTTATACAGTATACTTGGACTACCCCTGCCACTACGAGACCAAATGCTCTCTCTGGGATTCTCTGCATTGTGCTCCTTGTTAATCCGTAGATTACTTCCTTCTCTTACAATTTCCAACTGTATGTCTATCATAAGACTTTTGGCTTCTCTGAGCCTTTATTTGATTATGTGTAAATGGAGGTTATAACATGAACCTTGTAGAGATGTACTAGGAGTAATATAAAATAAACCATGCAAAATGCTTGACTCATACTTACTTATAACCAAAAAAATTGTGGTTATTATTATTTGTATACAGGAAGAGTCTTGCTGTATTTCTTCCAAAGTTATGCTTTAGAAATAAAACCTTTTTAGGAGAAATGGTTTCTCCTCCAGCATCTATGACTACCACAGGACTGTCTGGAAATCTCTCTGTCACACGCTGGGTTTTAGGTCCTTCATCTTGTCGCGCCCGCCTCGCCAGCAAGGAAGACGCGGCAACCGGAGTTCTTCTGACAGTGCTTTAATGGGGTTCCCTTTAGACTTACATGATGCGGAAGACCCAGCCCGGCAGCGCGCAGGCCGCTATATACCCCAGAAGCACAACCCCTAAGCTGCGATAGGCTGCTCAGCTGTCGAGCCACCAAAGCATTAGTCCATAGCAGGACCCTTTGTTTGCATTCTCGCGCCACAGGGCAACCGACAATTGCGCGTGCGCTGAACTTGTCTGCTGCTCTAGGCAAAGCCGGAAACAGGCGCCAACTTGTAATGGCGTTGACACCGCGCCCCACACATCTGTCATGAGTAACTGTCAAATGACATTGTAAAAGTTATCATATTTACATCCAAATTTCTGTTTCAGTGTGGCAGATGGGTACATCATGAAATCATCCCCCCTTCTTCACATCCACAGAAATGAAAATAAAAAATGATAAAATTGTATTAATAAATGTCCAATTATACTCAAAATCAAGAACTGAGTCTCTATGTGACATGAAGGAATAGTAGCAGCTATCATTTACTAAAGATGTACTATGCTTCCAATACTGCATCAAGCATTGTATATCAGTCACTTCATTAAATCTTATCTCATTCCTGAGTTCCCTCAACTGTAAAATGGAGACAATCATATCAACTTCATAGGTTTATTATGAGTATAAAATTGATTAATATATGAAAATTTTTAATAATAGCTGACTATGATCCAAAAGTTAGATATTATTATTATCATATAGTGTTTTGGTAATAGCAATAATTAAAAAAAAAACAAACACAGATCCTCTGCCCTAAATGCAGTGTGACAACATCAGCCAATGGCTGGGGGAGGTGAGGGTACCATGATGATGAGCCTGGGTCATGTGCACAGCCCTGTAATCATGGGTCATTACCAGAACAAGGGTCATAATACAAATATGACCACTGGGGCAATCATTAACTGGGAACAGTGCAGCCTAATAAGAGTCTAGGGAGAAGCTCTCAGAAAAGGTACTTCAGATCTTTTCTCATGCTGGGGTAGGAGAAAAGAAAATGCTTCCAAATGGAAATATGTAGAAACAGATGAGATTGGCTGAGAAGGTAAGGAGACACCACAAGACCTAGGGTTCCCAGGCCTGGGGAAACTTGTGTCAGTGTTAGAAAGAGGTTGATTGACCCAGAGCCAGTTCTCTGTGTACCAGGGCCATTCATCCCATGCTAAGGGTCCCATGGCCCTTCTTTATTTGAGAGCCCCAGATCCAGAGGTGTTTATGGCTGCAGACTGAGTTTGGAGCTTCAGAGACCAGAATTCTGGGGTACCTCAAGTTTGGGGCCTGTGGCTATAGAAGGAAGCCCTTTGTGGATGGAACCAATTCAGTTCCCTGGATGACCCAGGCAAAAAGTTCCCCTAGCTAACAACAAGTAAAAAATGCACCACCAAAAAAGAAGAACTCTTTTTAGATCTGTCAGAGAAATGAGGTCACAGGGTGAACTAAAAATTTGGAGAGATATATAGGAGATATAGAGAATCACAACTTACTGAAGGAGAAACACATGAGCAGAAACCTCTTTTGGGAACTGGTGCAGTGGTAGGAAAGCCTGAACTATAATCGATAAGTTGCCAGAGACTCAGTGAGGATATATATATCTGAGAGTTAAAACTCCAGTAAGACCCAATCACAGGAAGGCTGTCATACTTTTGTGAGTTTTACCTCCAGGAGCTCAACTAAGTCCTCATAGTATTGGAGAGAAATACTTTCATGCATCCAGCAGAGGGAGAAGAAAAGGAGCCATTTTGAAATATACCAGACAATTCAGAAAATATTTGCAAAGCATACATCTGATAAAGGAATAATATCCCAAATATATAAGGAACCCAAACAACTTAATAACATGAAAACAAATAACTCAATTAAAAAATGGGCAAAGGACTTCAACAGACATTTTTAAAAGAAGATACATACTTGGGCAATAGGTACATGAAAAAAATACTCAGAATCCCTGATCATTAGGGAAATATAAATTAAAACCTCAATGAGATATCACCTCATACCTGTTAGAATGGTTTTACTAAAAAGACGAGGGACCCATAAGTGTTTGGAGAGGATGCTGAGAAAAGGGAACTCTTATACATTGCAGGTGAGAATGTAAATTAGTACAGCCATTATGGAAAATGATTTGGAAGTTCCTCATTCTTTTCTTCTTAACAAGGCCTGCCCTCAGAAGAAACTTTTTCCAGAGCCTAACCTGTGTTGGCTTATGAGAGCCTAATATGCTTGGGGGAAGGGAAATACCCAACTGTAGCTCCCTTTAGTTTTCCACATGGAGGAAGAAAAATATACAACTCCAGCTCTCTCCAGCCATCCTGCCCTACCTAAGGGGGGAAAACCTGAGAAGCACTGGTGAAGTTCACAGGCTTCCCCAAAAACTAAAACCTAATCATGAGACAATAGAATGCTTCCCCTTCCTCCACACCTCACCACAATATCACTAAAGTACTATTTACAGTAGTTCCTTCCACACAGTATATCATGCCCAACTAAAAATTACAGGCCATACTAAAAGGCAGAAAACACAGTTTGAAGAGACAAAACAAGCATCAGAACCAAAGTCAGATATGGCAGGAATGGTAGAATTATCAGACCAGGAATTTTTTAAAACCATCATTAACATGCGAAGAGCTTTAATAAAAAAAAGTAGACAACTCGCAAGAAGTGATGAATAATGTAAGCAGAAAGATGGAGATTCTAAGAGAGAATAAAAAAGAAATGCTAGCAATCAAAAAATGCTGCAACAAAAATGAAGGATGCTTTGATGAGCTCATCAGTAGACTGAACATGGCTGAGGAAAGAATCTCTGAGCTTGAGGATATGAAAATGGAAACCTTAAAACTGAAAAGCAAAGACAAAAAAGACTGAAAAAAGACAGAATAGACTATCCAAGAACTGTTGAACAACTATAAAAGTTGTAACATACACATAATGGGAATGCCAAAGGAGAAGAAAAAGAACAGAAAAAAATATTCAAAATAATAATAAGAATTTTCCCCAAATTAATATCAGACACCAAACCATAGATCCAGGAAGCTCAGAGAATACCAAATAGGATAAATACCTAAAAAAGACACATAACACTATCACATTTGAACTTCAGAAAACTAAAGCTAAAGAAACAATCTTGAAAGAAGCCAGCGGTGGGGGGGGGGTAGGGAGGGGGAGTAACTTACCTACAGTGGAGTAAACACAAGAATTACACATGACTTCCCCTCGGAAACCATGCAAACAAGAAGATGATGATGTGAAATATTTAAAGTGGGGGAGAGAAAAGCCACCAGCTTAGAGTTCTGTATCCTGAGAAGTGATCCTTTAAAAGTAAAGAAGAAATAAAGACATTCTCAGAAAATTGAGGAAATGTGGTTGCTAGTAAACCTGCTTTGCAAGAAATGTTAAAAGTTCTTCAGAAACAATAAAAATGATATAGATCAGAACCTCAAATTTCTATGAAGAATGAAAGAGCATCAAAGAATAAGTGAAGATAAAATAAAAACTTTTATTTTTCTTATTTTTA